TAGAGTTTTGCAGAAACATTACTTCTTATTTTCAAGCCAGTTTGCCCATTCCTAACAAAAGACGCAAGCTTGTAATGTTTTCCTCAATGCCAGAGTGCAAAATGAGTAGATGCAGAATTCAAATAAGATTTCCTCATATCTTTCCTGTCAACTGTAAAAGATAATCAGCTGTTTCTTTTTGCCAAGCTATTTTCAGCTAGAAATGACACATAGTTCATTTGTTTTCTTGATGCATTTACGTGGTTGGAAAATCTCTACTTTTTCTAATTGTTGTTTAAAAATATTCTTTGTTTCCTTTTCTAGTCAAGCAATCCAGGGTGGAGCAGAGATGTGTGCAGGGAGGGTGAGAAAATGTGGGGTGTAGATGTTCCTGTGTATTGTGTTTCTATGAGTAGCAGCTTAAATTCTGTACCCAGTTAATCAGGGAACTTCCCATTGACTTAGGAGGGCAAGGATTATACCTAAAACATTTCATTTACTATGGTGCTCATCATATTGTTCCAAGAGGAAAGACTGACTACCATCCAAAATACATCAGTGTGTTACCTTGTGATCCTCTCCAGGTTGTAATATAACAGCTCAGCTGAGAGTTATCTGGGGCACAATACAAGTAGCCAAATTGCTGAACTTGACTTTGGGCTCACAAGGTTAACATTTACCTTAGAAGAGGCATCTCCAACAGCCTTTGATCCTGTTAACCCAACAATACCATATTTGCAAAAGAAGCCAACTGAGTAAGTAATATGTACCAGAAGTATTCTGTGGTAAATGTGCTGCTGATCTTGGGCAGGGAGGATACACTTTACTCAGAAAGTGGAGGATGAAAGCCTTCGCGGCAACATCTGTTCTTTGAAAGTGACAAAGCCAAGTCATCTGCACAAGAACTGTTTCTGTTATCGCACTAACTGATCTACTGAAGCACTTAGAAAAAATGTGCCAAAACAATTGGAGTTTGAAACAGTCTTGATATGACTATTTTAGATTTCAACATTAAAATGTTACTGTGGATTACAAAGAAGGGGGGGGGGAGGGCGGGGCGGGGCGGAGCGGGGGTGGTGATTAAAACGAATTTAAGAGACTTTCAGCTTTGGACTGGTGGTTTGAGTCCAAGCCTAGTTGGTACCAAATAGCACTAATCACCATTAAATGGCTATTTAGTACCTGTAGGAATTGATTTGGTGATCTTGGCCCAGTTCTTCATGGACAGGTGTGCATGCTACAAAACTCTGGCTACAAGTAGCACTGAACTAGGACTGGGATTGTCATCTCAGCAGCATAGCCAGCTATAGATGAGGTCTGGACATTGACCATTCCTGTAGAGAAGATCTCCAGCCCTTGGTAAGGCAGTGTGGTTTAGTGCAGGGGTGCTCAGCTCTTGCCCCGCAGGCCAGATCTGGCCCTCAGGACCATGTCAAGGGACCCACATGGGGTGCAGGGAGTGGTGCCAGCCCCAGGGCCCAATCCCAGCATATGGGAGTGGAAGTGGGTGCTGCCAGATTTCCAAATCCAGTCCTGGCATGCAGGACAGTGCAGGGTGGTGCTAGGCCCTAGGGCCTGATTCTGGCATGCAGGCTTGGTTCAGCCCATGGACCAGCCCTGCACCACTCATTTGGCTCATGTGACCACAACTTTGAGCACCACTGGTTTAGTGCATAGAAGAAGGGACTAGGACTCAGGAGTTCCTGGATCTATTCCTGGCTCTGCATCTGGGTAACCTTGGACAAATCATTTACCTTCTCTGTGCCTCATTTCTTCATCTGTAAAATGGGTAATGTGACCAATCTTCTGAGGAAAAGCCACTAGAATGGAGCTAAGCAGTTATATTACATTGGACAGTGCATAGAAACTCCCTGTGCTTCTGCCTGTGTTGTACCTGTTCTGGGCTTGCATCAAAACAACATGGACTTGCAAAAATTATAGAGATATATATATATATATATGAAAATGTGTGCGTATGTGTGTATATATATTAATATATATTATATAAATA